GTTGAGATATTTTTATTTGAAGTTTAGAAAAAATTTACTTAGAAACAATTTGGGTGGTTTCTACTTTTGACCGCCCATATTATGAATAACGATTGTATATTTATTTTTTATACAGTAAAATCCAATTCAGGACATTTGCTTAGGCCTTATAAGGAGAATTAATTGTATTGTAATTAACGATTCCTCTTACTTCATCGAATTCTTGAAAGAAGTTAAAATAATTACATCATTTTGCAATAAATTCAAGTATTTAAAATATAAACAAATATATTAACAAATGTCGCGGCTGATGCTGAAATTTAGGGTCTCCATTTAAATCTATAATACCTACTAAAATTCACCTATACTTTTTTACTGACAACACTAACCTTAAACCCTAACCTAAACCTAAAAAAAAGCCCTAACAAAAGGCCCAAAAAATTTTAAAATTTCATAATAAAATTTCAGCATCAGTCGCGACAATAAATAAGTTTCAACCCCACATTCAATATAGACTAGAGATATATGGTTTAACTAAAGATAAGACCGGTGATTATCTAATGGTATTTTAGTTTGCTGATAGTAGAATTTCTGTATTTTTAACCATTTTTAAAAGTAAATTTTAAAGAACTTGCACGGAAATGTAAATTGACTACTTATATATCTTATAATTTAGCAAAAATTTACAACTTACATTTCAGATCTTGGAACTCGTCCAAACTGTAAAGATCAAGGGGAATAAATATTATGACTGAGAACATTATTAGAGTTATGCCCTATGTTGCACCAGAAGTTTTGTTAGATAAAAATAGCTGATATTTATTGATTAGTAGTGTTACAAGCCATAAGGTTTTTATCAGCTGCTGATAAAAAAAATCAACTAAGCGGCTAACTAATGGCTAATAAAACCAAATTTTTTATCTTCAGAAATTTCGGAAATTTACTTAAAAATTTCCTCAATCTTATACGTTTTTTATGTTCGTCCGTTTTCTATTCTAAAATTTTCGGAACTTTGTGCCTCCTGTTACTTCAATTCCACCTAGCATTATTGCATTATCACTCTGGCCTAAATTATACTGTTTAAATTATGTGATCTTAAGCCGTATTAGCCAGCCGATCACATTACATCAGCCAGGTAGAACAATAAATCTTTTCGACAAGTATTCTTTCAAAAACCTTTTGTGTGATATGCAACCTTTCTAAATATCTTCTAAGCTTTTAAATTACCTGTGAAGAGATACGAAAATATTTGAAAAAGTTGCATATCACACCAAAGATTTTTGAAAGAACACTTGTAAAAAGGTTTGTTGTTCTACCTGTGTAAGCTGCCTTAGCCGGTTTGTAACACAGTATCAGCATGGCAAATTATATTGATCAGTTTGCTTATTCATATATAAAAACCCAACTTGTTTAATTCTATTTAAAAGATGCCTAAATTAGAAGATGTCTCAACTAGCAAAAACACTTCAAAAGACAAAACCATCCAAATTGTACTAGTTGATCAAGACATACAAAATAGTTCAGATAATCAAAATGTACAAGGCACACAAAAGCATTCAGATAATCAAGATGATGATATTATAATATCTGAATTGCAAGAAATGTATAAAAAGTTAGATTGAAAGATGAAGGAACTTTACAAAACCAATGAAGAAAAAATTATTTTATTGGAAGTGATTATGCATGAATATAAAAAAGGAGTAAGTGTGCTTGAAATTATATACATTTTTATTGATTAGGCCATACAAATTTAATAAATCGGTTTTCATAACCCGACTGGGTCAAAATTTACAAAACCTTAGAAAAAAATTTTTAATATATTTACTATCTGGGCGAGTTTTTTTAAAAATTATATAAAAAATTTTATATGTTTTTTATATATAAAATTTTCTGAAAATAAAATTAAAAGCCAGGTTGCCAGGTCACTTTTAAAATTTTATGTTATGAAAACTGAATTATTAAGTTTATATGGTCTTATTTTATTTATTTTTTTACTAAACCAGATTAGTTTTTCACTGTTATTTTCTTTCCTATTTTTAGAAATATAAAGTAAGCTCAGTTTTCAATACAATTATGTTATATATATATATATATATATTTTAATTTGGCAGTCTTGCCAATACTTTTTATTAGATTAATGCTAAGGTATTTTGGTTACAAATATCATGAGTACATTTACAACTATCTATATTTTTACATGTATTAGCTCACTCGGTTACCAATTTAGGTACCTATGTGTGACCTACTATATGAGACTTTTACCTCCTTAGTAACCGCCTTACAATTAGACCAATTACTAAATCACCAGATGGTTCCCAAACCTAATTATATCATATATATCCTGCTTATATACTACTGTACAATGTTTATCAACTAACTTTCACCCTCATCACTTATCACATTACTTCTAATTTGTTTCTTGTATTACTTCCAAATTGGTGTCTTTTGAGTGGGCACTCTTCATGCTTCCAGTTTGGTGTCCCTGGGGAGCTACTTTAAGAACCTAATCTGTATCTCAAGCCAGGTGCTGCCAGGTTATAAGACTCATATCTCAAGCCACCTGCTGCCGTACTAGGGTGTTATTTCACATTATCTAGGTATTCACGTCGTACACCACCAAATTAGGCTATCGCTCCTTTTATAGTACTCCTATCGGTATAGTATTACAGAAGTCTAAATCCTTAGAATGGGAGTTAAGTACCTTATTTAATTACTGTCACAAGCTAGTAACTCGGGACTTGCACTTCTGCCATGTTTTGTCATACTCTCATAACTCCCATATAGGTTGTGTGACACATTACTCACTGGCTGTCTTTATTTTCGTACTATCAGAGCACTTGCTTCCATGCTTTTTAGGGTTTCTTTTAGCTGGTTTTCCTTGTTTCATTGCGCCAGAGGTGTTCTATATTTGGTAAAGCCATCCTCTTACCACAGCCCCTTACTATGTTCACCACTTCTCTCACCACTTCTGGAAATACC